TAGCCAGGGCTCAATTAATTTGCATTCTAGTGAGAGGAGTTATTCCCCTTTGCCGTTTACTTTTGATAATTAATCACTGTAAATAATGTACTTGAAAAATTAATAGAATAAGAGAATTATGCAAGAATTTTTATTGTATAATACAAAAAGTATTTTCATAGTTTTAATGATCATGTGGATTTGTAAGTAATAGATAAATAAAAATGAGACAAAAATAACTTGTCTTATTAAATGTTCATCAAAGACCAAGAGAAGCCAATGTAAGAGATTACAACAAGGAATTAAAATAGTACAAAAGCACTGATAGTTTGTTAATATACTGTATGGTGATAGTGATAAATGGGGAACAGATTAGAACCTAATTTATGAACTGTTAATGAATAGTAGACTAATTATTTTGTTGATCCTGATCACCCTATTTTTGTTGCTTTTGGGCAACAAAGCTTCACCTTTCATTTCATTTTAATACTCTATGGATCCTCTAAATTGTTGTATTGTACTCAAGTGACCGTTAAGGCCCTTAATTGGGCCTCTTGTTAAAATTCATCAGTGGAATTTTTAAAGTGAAATAATGTGAAGTGAAGAGTCACTTTACAAATCTTTGCATTACCATCAATTAAACAAAACTGAAAAAGATGAGATTTTTTGCGTATATTAAGCACTTATCATTCTCACCCGATCTATTTGTTTATTATAATTGTTCAGTAAAGCATTTAGGCCACACCAATTTGTAATATAGTTCTTCGGATTTTCAAAAATAAAAAGTGAGGAGAGAGGGTGAAATAATTTTACAAATATTATTTTTCATTTTGGGATTAAAAATTATGAGGCAAGTGAATACACGTAATATAATTTTTTTTTTTAATGAATAAAGCATGATTTCAAAGAGCGAGCGCTTCAAAAATAAAGACTTAAAAATATTAGATATCATTTGTATACCACATGAACTTGTGATTTTTAACGTTTTGATATTGTTTTCAATAAATAAAAAGTTTTAAGTTTCAAGACTTTACTTTCATAACAAGTAATGTTTTGCTACATTAAATAAGGTCTTTTTGAAGAATTTCCCCTCCAATTTGTTGCCCATTCTATAAATCCTGTGGTCTTGTTTGCCTGTAATTTTTCCAAGGGGAGAATAATTTTTGGAAGCATTCATAAAACGTGAAAATGTGTCTAGTTTCTGTTTGTCATGTTTTGAATTTGACTGGCTTGCCTGTCTGATATAGATAGAGACAGGCAATACCAGTCTAGTTTTGAATGAGGTACATGTTACATTGCAATTTCTTTTCTTTTCTACAAACGATCTGTTCAGTTCTGTACAAATTCCTAGGGACATGTCCAGTCTTGAAATCTCAATTACATCGCTCTTAGAATTTTTTTTTATTTTGATGGAGCAAAGTCAGGCTTGGGGCAGATTTCATTGTAAAGTAATGCATTACATTACCATTACTTCAAGAATTTGGGCATTAAATTACCATTACCATTACTCTAATTTCTTAAAGTAATGCATTACATTACAATTACTTTAGCAAAGTAATGCATTACCATTACTTTTGGGGGGTTTTAGAAATAGAAAAACAAAACTTTGCAACTATTTTCATAAGGCATGCATTCAACCACTTCAAAACTAAACATGATGAATGATAATTCAAATTTGATTTCAAGTGCATGTACTTGTATTTATTACACTGTAAATAACTTAAATATCTTTTTATTATTCATTGGAAGTTCATACTTTTCAATTGTCAGTAAGATAAAACATGTACAATGTGCACTTTTTGTGTAACTATTATTGTCATTAAGCAATTTAACTTTTGGGACACTTTAATCAATTTCCAAAACTATCTAATGATAAAGCATATATTATTTGGATCTAGTACCTTATGAAAAAAATAATGAATGCATTGACAAACTTGTAAAAAAGGGTTGGACAGTATGTACATGTACATTTTGCTCTGCTAAGCATAGAATGCCTGCATGTCTTCTATTCCATTTAGTACAATGGATTTGTTTTGGTCAGCTCAAGCTAGACCAGCTCAATTAATGTTTTATGAACACAGTCAGGAGAAAGGGACTTTGGAGCCCTTCTCAAAACAATGCATTGTTTTAATTGTTACACACCCGCAGAGGCAAAGTGTGTTTTGATGACACTATAGCTATTCAAAAGGTGGCAATTATCAGTTTACAGTGTACATTAATTACTGTACCTCACACAGAATTATTTTTTAAAAAGATTTTAAAAACTATTTAGAATAAATTTTTGAAATCAAATCTTATCTAAAATATGTGTGAAAATTTAAATGTAAGGTAATTGTACTTTTAACAGAATAAATAGTGTATTTCAATAGATTTAGAGTTTATTTAAGTAGGTTAACTTTTTTCATTCATTTCTATCATTTATTAAAAAAAAATATCCTAAACAATAATTTCCATGTCCATTTCAATTTTTTAAAAATAGGTACATACAAAATAATGCTTTGTAATGCCAGCATTACTCTGGATTTGATCAAGTAATGCATTACATTACCATTACATGTAATGCAAATTTTTCAGCATTTACACATTACTAGCATTACTTCAAGTTCAAGTAATGCATTGCAATGCATTACCATTACAATTAGCATTACCCCAAGCCTGGAGCAAACATCATCAATATTCACCAAACCTTTCGTGGACTTTTCAATGTAAATCTCTTTATAGTAAATTCGAACAGTGCTTCAAAAGTTTCCTCTGCTTCTAGTTCAGTTGCAATATAAGGAAAAAATTCACATCCACTGTTTTTAACTATTGACGTATCGTATATATAAAGAGTAGACAGGCATCGTGAAAAACTTCACACATTGTTACACAGTTACAGTATGAGTTACGAAGTACCCGCAGTTCGCACTTCTGTCAATCCTCAAAGACGTGTTCCAAAGTCTTTTGTGCGTTTGGTGTAAAAAGTTGAAAAAAAATGTACTCAGATATTTTTGGATGTGCGGGCGGAAATATTTTTTTTATAATATTATAATTTGGATTTGATACAAATAGAATCCAACGAACTACATTACAAATTGGTATGAGCTTATGTATTAAATACGCATGCATGGTATGTATAGATCTTGAACAGATAAATAGATAATAATTTGTACCCAGTACGAAACATCTGTGGTGATTTTTAAGATGTATTTTAGTATTTACGTTTATAGCTAAAATATATGACCCCATATTGATTCCTACTGAGATTCTGAGAACTGCTGCAGTGAAAAAAAATTTCCCACTTTTCCACTCTATCATATGTCTCTGGTTGAACATATTTAAGATAGTGAATGAAAAATGCAAAACAAATAAACCTCAGCCTCTTGAAAACCTGGCAAAGTTTTAAGCCTAGGGCTACCTTTACACCCCATCCTTCTAGTTTGGTACTTAACACGCATGTCAGTGAGAAACGATCATTTGTTGCGTTTCCCACGGACTTGTCGACGCCATTTTTAAACATGTTGATCATAATCATCAAAATGCTTTTTTGAATAGTTGTAGAGGATAAACAAGCGTCTGTATAATTGAGAAATCAGAAAAAATGATCTGATAAAAACCGACATTAGATTACGTCTGTAAAAAAAAAAATACATTCCTTGAATAGGTTAAAAAAAAATTGAGTCGGGTGGATTTTCATGAGTCGGTCGATACTGCAGAAAAACAATTTATTAAGAATGGCCTCATCATGGTTATGGTGCAGAACATGAAACATAGTTGTGAACATGTGAACATTAAACCAGACTTCAAAATTCTTTTTTGATTACTGATATCTTTGCATTACTATTGGTTCTGTTTGAAAATTGAATCGGCAATTTTGTTTCAAGAACGAGGGCGCTTTTGATTGACATTCGGCAGGAATCGGGGTGCACTTGAAAAGTGAAAACTATATTGAACTGTAAAATTAAATTTTAACTTTCTTTTGATGTATCATGTTCCTATGAAATATGAAATGAAAACATTTTCCCAATAGTGTGTTTTGATTTCCTTAAAAATAACTTGAAACATGGCTAGATGTGTCATTTGGTACAAAATGTTACATTTTTAAACATGTATTTTCTAAAAATTTGTTATCTCTGGGTCATCTCTCCATGATTTTAAAAAAGACATTTGTGTGCATTTGTATTCAAAGAAACCAACAAACATTTGTAAAAAATGGAGAGAAGACCCAGAGACTATAATAAAATGAACTTTTTCCAAAAAAATACCAATGTGTAAATGCGTTGCTTCTTTGTCATTTTAAATTCATGAGTGTTTGTGAAGCAATGATAGCTCAGTAGTATGCGTTACCAGTCCAGCGCACTTAGGAGTCGAGAAGTTTTTGGTTCGATCCTCGCATGGAGCAATTTATTTTTTTTCTTTTTTATACAAACAATCAAGTGAATTTTATTTATTGATTTATAAGTTTTAAAAGAGATATATTTTGGTTCAGTTGCACAGGGAGCGAAAGCAATTTTTCAAACCTACTGAAACTTCATTTCATATATCATACCCTATTATCTTGTTAGGTGTTTATTATTTATGTGAAGTATTACTGTGTTATCATAACCAACTGTTAAGGTAAGTGCACTAAAATATTTCAAATTTGAAAGCTATTTAAATGTAAATCTAAACATTTTCCAATGTGTGTAACTTGGTAAAGTCTGTCCACTTCAGGCCAGCTGACCAAATCATGGACATTTAAACCATAAATGTTTCGTACACGATTCCTACAGATCGCACGCTATGTACGCCCACCTTCTTTTATAAGCTGATTACACTGATTTCACAGGTTCAACAATGCCAGATATTGGGTACTATACATGAATTCATGGTTTAAGTACATGTATTCTCTCCAACCTGTTTAATGCTCCCTAAAAATTTTTTTGGGTCACCTTCATAGGTCATGGCCATTTTAATGTTTTGGAAAAAAAGCTGCCATGAATGAATTCAACTGTAATGTGTATTCTGACCCACTTTTCTTATTCTTTTTTTTTTTTTTGCAGGATAGCAACCAGACTTGGTACACTGAAGACCCAGATTTCACACCATGTTTTCAAAAAACTGTTTTGCTGTGGGTTCCTTGCATCTATCTGATTTTTCTTTCTCCTGCCAGAGTGTTTAGTTTGACTGAGAGTCGAAAACCTTCCCTAAATTTTACATCACTAAATGTATTGAAAACAGTAAGTGAATTTTTAAAAATATAGTAGCTCTTTGTCAATATAAGTGCTATGTTTAAAAGTCTTCGTTACTTCTGGACATCATGCCATCAAACTGTTGGCATGATTTTAATGATCATTGAGCCCTCTACTAAAATTGTGCTGGAGGGGGGTTCTATTGATTATGTTATGGAAGTGCATTATTTCTTTGAAAGTCTTCTTCTCTGCTCCTGTATATTAAGCAAACAACCCAAGTATATAGTTTGATGAGCAAGGGTGTCTCTTCCAAATAGTGAATTTCATGGCCCATGGATCTGGGGTTCTGGTGTTAGGACGGGGCTCTATAAAGTGAAAATGCATAAATTCTTTGAAAGTGTCTACTCCTGGGTATTTAGCACATAAGCTCAGTGCAGTTTATGGTGATCAAGAGTGCTTCTTCCAAAAATCTGAAATTTGTAGTCTTAGGGTCAGAGGTTCAGGTGGGGTGTGATTTGAAAATCATCTTCTCTGCTCCTGGGTATTTGGCACCTGAGTTGAAAGCTCAAGTGAGCTTTTCTTATCACATTTGTCTGGTTTCATCTGTCTGTCCATCCATCTGTAAACTTTTCATATTTTTGACTGTTTGTTCAAATCTTGACACCAGGGGTTAGGGTGGGACCACAATGGGGGATCAAAGTTTTACATAGGAATATATAGAAAAAAAATCTTTAAAAATCTTCTCCTCAAGAACAGCAAAGCCGTGATTAGTCATATTAATATGGAAACATCCTCAGTGTAGATTCATGTTTGTTCAAATCATGACCTCCTGCCAGGGAAGGGTTGGGCCACAATCGGTTTACATAGGAATATATAGGAAACAAATCTTCAAAAATATTCTTCTCAAGAATAACAAAGTTGTCATATTGATATGGAAACTTCCTCAGGTAGTGTAGATTCAAATTTATCCAAATCATTACTTCCAGGGGAAAAAATATTCAAAAATCTTCTTCAAAAGAACAGCAAAGCCATGTTTAGTTATATTGACATGGAAACATCCTCAGGTAGTGAAGATTCAATTTTGTTCAAATTATAACCCCCTGATGTAGGGTGGGGCCACAATGCACTATCAGAGTTTAACATAAGAATATTTAGGAAAAATCTTAAAAAATCTTTTTCTCAAGAACAGCAAAGCCATGTTTAGTCACATTGATTTGGAAGTATCTTGAGGTAGTTTATATTTAAGTTTGTTAAAATTGTGACCCTGAGGGGTAGGGTGGGGCTACATCTATAAAAATCTTGACACCTGGGGAAGGGTGGGGTCACAATAGGGATAAAAGTTTTACTCAGTGGTGATTCTGTTTCGATATTTAGCGGAATTCCCCTAATTTGAATCCAAGAATCTGATATTTACGAGTGTTTTCTGATATTTCAGTACTTTCTTATTCTGCAGCGATCCCTTTCACTTTTTGTCCGGGTAAAAAATTCAAGTTGTTCCTCCATGTTTTGATGTAGTATGCATCATCCAGACATTTGCTTTTATCTCCAAGTAAGGTAAACACAAACGTAGGGCCTTACAATGGAGAGGCGGTTCATTCAGCCAGGTCAGGATGTAAAAGTTTTTGAACAAACTGTCATACTTCAATTTTTGTCACTGATTTAAACATATTTTGGGCTTGCTAAAGCCCATATTTCATCATCCTCTCGACCCCCAAACCTATTTAAGATATTTTGGGCAATTTACAGAATCATCACTGTTTACTAGGAATATATAATAGAAAAAATCTGCTGATGTAGAACAGCAGGGCCATCTTTGTGCAGGTGAGTTCTGTGGCCCATGGACCTCTTGTTAAGTTTTGTAGTATATGTTATGCCTAGAGCAGTAAATAGTTCACTTATCCATTTTAATCCTGTATCACTATAAAACATATTTTCTGTGTTAATTTTAGAGCCAGTATAGACTGCTTTTGTTTATGAATTACTAGGTTTTAAACCTGAAAATTTTTAAAATTGAAAAAGAAGATCAAGTGCACTTTTTAAACTCTCTCTGATCCATCCTAAAAAAGAACTGTGTCATCTGCATATTGTAATAGACAAACTTTTTCCTTCTCTATTTTAATGCCTTTGATATTTCTATTTTGTCGTATAAATTCCTGCACAAAGATTAAATAAGTAAGGAGATACTGGGTCACCTTGATGACATCCCCTGCCAATTTCAGGAAAAATACCATTTTGCATAACACATAATTTATTTTTTTTTACTCACCTCACCTCTCCTCTTAGCGCCCGCTGGCACATAAGGCCCCGATACACTTCCTCCACCTGCCTCTGTATTTGGCTGCTGTCCTCGCTGACGCCCAGCTATTCCATCCCGGCTGTAGTCTTTCTTGTTCCGTGGTTCTTCTCCAAATTGTTTTTCAGGCGGCCTACTTGTCTTTTTCCTTCTGGATGCCATGTCAGTGCAGTGGTACAAATTCTGGTGTTCTCCATCCCCAGTGCATGATCATATCTTTATTTTATAGTACTGAAACCCCTCTGATAAGGTCAGGGCCAAAATTAAAAAAATTGCGAGGTATTAAATATAAATTTCCATGATATGGAGTCAAATGTTTTTTCAAAATCAATAAGTAATATCATGCCAGAAATATGATTTTCATATGTTGCATTAATTACATTGTGTATTATTGGTGTATTTTCTCCAATGAATCTATCTTTATGGAAGCCCTTTTGATTAACATGAGTAAAAAATCAAGAACATTTTAATCCTATTTGCTATACACATGAAGCAAATTTATATGTTGTATTAAGAAGTGATACTGGACGCCAATTTGAAAGAAATACTCTCGGCTTATCAACTTTCTGTAATATAGAAATGATACCTTGTTTCTGAGTTACAGATAATTCTCCCACATTAAACCCAAAATTTATTGATCTGAATAGAAGCTCCCAAGATCCCTCCAAAAAATTTTAGAAATTCTATTGTAAAACCATTACTGACTGGCCTTAATTGTCATTTTTCATTTTCTTAAATGCAGATAGGGCTTTCATTCTTCATTTTCTTTAATGCAAATAGGGCTTTCATATAAGTTATACATCCTTCTAGGTTATTGGACATGTTGTCATAAAGTACCCTGATATCATCCTTAGGCCAAAGTTTTTATTTTTTTTGGTTTACGATTTTCTGTCTAAAAAATGCATTGGGTGGTCGAAAAATAAAAATAAAAATAATTTAGGATTCAACAATTTCATCTTAAAATACCAGCAATGTTGATTTTAATAAAAATAATACATGTCAATAGTAATTTTAAGTTTAATTGTCTAGTTCACATAACTCTTTTTATTTAATTTTAATTCATTTGTAACTTAAGACTGAGTGTCATCAGGGGATGACAAAGCCCGATGCTTGGGGCTTGTGAATTTTAGAAGAGGGCAAGTGAAATTTTATCAACCACTTGCCTGTGGGCAAGTAACTTAAAAAATAAAATAAATATTTAAGTCATAGATTTAATTTTGGGCACAGGGGATTGCATGTTCTACTCAGTATTTTTTTTATACAATATTAGTTTATGGTTTGGCAAGCAAAAATTCAGGTAGGGCAAGTGAATTTTCACCTCACACTTGCCCTTGGACAAGTGCCTAAAAATCTATTTGTCAGCCCCTGTGTCATTTTCATTTAGTTCTGATTTTTGTTTGTTAATCAGTGCTTGGTTCATGATGTTCAACTTTTCTATGTGCTCTTCAGTGATATGTGATGTGTTAGAAACCTCAATATCCCCACAAACTAAAAATAAGAGTCCAAATTTAAGTTAAATTTAGATTTAAGAAAAATACAATTTAATTGTTTAACAATATTAAAAGTAATTGATACTGAAATAAAGGTTATAATAATTTGATCATGCAACTATCAAAGGACTATATATGATAAGAGTCAATTTTGCCCCCCCCCCCCCCATCAACATTTTTGAATATGATTCAGATATGTAAAATTGTTTTATATTTTGTAGAAGAGATCATATTTGAGATATTTCCAATACATTTTAAACATTTAAATGCACTCACAGGCTGTAAATGATGCTTTTTTTGAAATCCAATCAAAATAAGACAAAAATGTGCCTTTTTCTTGACATTTTTCTTATGGAAAACATAGAGCGCAGTTTAGAACATGCGAAATTTTTCTGTCAGTAATTGGTCTTGGATAGATACATCTTTGGTAAAAATATGAAGTTTGTTGAAGTTTGTTGAAGTCTGCGCTCAATATTTTCTGGAAGAAAAACTATTTGAAAATGAGTGGTTTTATACAAAATATGCTAAAATGGCGGGAAAAGGTGAACTTTATGATGTCATATTTCTAAATTAACGGCATTTTGATCAAATTAAAAATTACAAATAAAGGTCATGTGTATAGCTGTGCAAAGTAAAGCTATATATAAAGTAAAATTAAGATATTCATTTTAAGGGGCCATTTGAGACGCATATCGTATATTGCTCTTTGTTCAACCTGCGGCACAAAAGCCTAATAATTTCTCAATCAAGTACTTCTTTAAATTTTTGTTATGTACCTGTACAGTAGGCAATGCTCATTATTTACTTAGTAATTCAAAGGGCTTTGATCTCAATTGAGTATCAAATTTGCAAAGATTTGTATATTAAATTTACTTCTATAAATTAACATTAATGTTTTATACATATTTGAATTTATCCAGTGAAATACCAGTCAGTGTTGTATCTCTCAGCACCAAAATTACCTAACTATTATCTATAGGTGTATCCATGTCTGCTAGGTCAGGGTTGGGCATGCACTCTCCAATATTACAGTTTGAATTTAGCCAATTGAGACATTGCAATTGGAGAAAGGGATCATACATGCAAGATTTTATCCACTTTTCCATGCAGAAAAAGTTCTTAAAGTGTGTGTCATTGCTTTCAGTGAGTAATTACCTTGTAACATGACAGAACCGCCATTTTTGGTTTGCACGTGTTTATTTACGGTCACCTAAATGTTTGTAAAGGTCTCATATATTGATAAGCGCTTATTTGACTAAGATGCA